TTGCCTGCCCAAAGTTCCTAGCCTGAGGCTGGCTTTCTGTGTTTAAAAGGGAGAATGGCAGGTGTTAAAGAGGTAGGGAAGGTACTCTAGCACCTTGGGATCATCCACAAGGATTGGAAAAAGACTGAAGAAGGAATAACTTTCTCACCGTGTGATTCGATGATATTAATGCTACATCCGTGTGACACAGCTATCATTTTACCTGCCAGGGTCAAGTTCCCACAACTTGAGAATAAGTACTTTCTATAGCAGTGTTCCTGGTCCCGTCATCCTCCCCTGGAAAGGACTTTTGTGCATCTTTCCCCCCATATTAAGACTTCCCCCCTAAAATGCACATTCATCTGGGTAACTGGATGTAGGCAGGTGGGAGGACAGTTTTTATATGGAGGTTCCCAGGGCTTGGCTCTCAGAGGAATCAGTTCTCAAAGGCAGCTACCCATTCTGTGCTCACCAACTGCTTCAGCCAGAGACATCACCAGCCCTTCTTCTAGCAGCAGTCAATATGATCAGGAGACACCCCAGAGCCCCAAAGTGCTACTGTAGGACGAGACCCCAAGGCAAGTTACAAGGTTTGGGGTGTGGCCTTGGGGATAGAACTGCAGCATCATAGTGAGCAGCTGAGGCTGTCTACATAGCCCCAAGCCACTGTCTGCATGGTGTGCCATGTAGACCTGGCCTGACAGAATAAACTTTTATGACCACTTGGGAAAGAATTGCCTTGCAGCACAGGTGAGGTTGAGGGCCTGTAATGTTCCAGAAATGCCTCTTGCCAAAGGGGAATGAGGCTGAGCTCAACTAATAACAGTGAACATTTTAAAGTGAGCATTTCAAATCCTCCAGCTGAAACAAACTGTTGAAAGGTGAAATGGTTGCTATATATTTATCTTCATTACATCAACTCCTTTTATTATCTTAGAAATAACCCATGTGAGATAGTCACCAACTAGAAGACAAATCCTTGCTCAGGCAAATGTCAGTAGTGCTGTGTTGGGATCTGGTGTATTTCATATGGGTGCTAGCTTATTTGCAAAGCAGCTGCTAATTAAATAATGACTATTAATAAAAATCCACGAGGTTGCAAAAACTCTCTAATTATAGCAGAAAGGAGGCTCTTGGTAATAATTCAAAACTTCCCTGGAGAAATTTTGAAAGGGAAAAGGTGTTGCTGTCCCACCCAAGAGATCCTTCTCTTTATCTCCATCAATAATAATATCAATACATATAGTTACAGTTATTGAGCATTTACTATATGCTAAACACTGTTTTAAGATCTCCATGGAGATTGACTCATGAATATAGAAATGTTAAAGTGTGCATTGATGGATGAACGATAAACAAAATCTGGTATATACAGACAATGGAATATTATTCAGCCTTGAAAAGGAAGGAAATCCTGTCACATGCTACAACATGAATGAACCTTGAAGACATAATGCTAAGTGAAATAAGCCAGTCACAAAAGGACAAATACTGTATGATTCCACTCATATGAGTGAGGTACCTACACAGTCAAATTTATAGACAGAAAAGTACAACAGTGGTTGCCAAGAGCTGAGGGGAGGGGGAAAGGAGGGTTATTGTTTAATGGCTACAGAGTTTCAGTTTTGCAAGATGAAAAGTCCTGGAGATGGATGATGACGACGCTGCACATGAGAATGTAATTAATACCACGGAAATGTACACTTAAAGATGGTTAAAATGGTAAATTTCGTGTTATGTAAATTCTACCATGATTTTTAAAAATGGTTTTTCACACAAAGAGAGAAAGAAAGATGGCATTAAAAGTGTTTACTCATTCATGTATCGTTATTTTAAAAACATCAGTACAAAACTCAACGTTGTAGAGTCCTTCCATGTATGGCACAAAGATTTAAGGCATGCCAGGCAGTATACTAGCAGTGGGGGTACCAGTTTGAACCAGGAGCGATGATCCAAAGAGATGCGGACAAGTAAATCAACTAATGCAGTAAAATCACAGCCACTAGCACAGATACGTGCTTACTGTACACCAGACACCCGTTCAGGTGGTTTACATATGTTAACTCAAATAGTCCTCATGGCAGCCCTGAAGACAAACCATACTTGTTCCCGTTCAATGACTAAGGAAACTGAGAGTGAGGTTAAGAAAGTTGTCCAAAAAAAGTTGTCCAAGGTCACAGAGGATTGTGTCCAAGGTCACAAGCAGTCAGACTTAGAGTCTGTGCTTTTAACCACCCAGTAAGGGGTGGACGAAGGGATGATAAACAGTGCCAGGATGCAGGGGCTGGCCAGGGGAGGTGTGTGCAAATAAATTGTGTGTGTGTGTGATCAGGAAGTGACTTTTGAGCTAAATTCCAGAGCAGGGTTTGGAAAATTTCAATCCGTGGGCCAAATCCGGCCCACTGCCTAGTTTTGTAAATAAAGTTTTATTGGAACACAGCCATGCTCATTTGTGTACATATGACCCATGGCTGCTTCTGCCAATCGTCAGCAAAGTAGAGCAGTTGCAGCAGAAACCACATGGCCTGCAAAGCTGAAAATATTTACTCTCTGGTGCTTTACAGAAAAAGTTTGCCAACCCTGTTCTAGAGGATGAATAGGAAAATGATCCACGAAGGACGGAAGGAAGGTACACGTGTCAACTCTGCCTTCTCAAGATATCCTCCTTCCCCTCTCTCCTCCGATGCCACCACCTTAGGGCAGGCAGTGCCCCCTCTCCCCAGACGCCTTCCACAGCCCCCTAACCATTCTCCCTGTGTCCCCTCAACCTCTACAATCCTTCCTCCACCCAGAGGAAAAGAAACCAACCTAAAGATGAAATTGGATCCCAATACCTTCCAGCTGAAAACCCTTCGAAGTCTCCCCACTGTCCTCAGAATAAAATCCAAGCCCTTCACTAGGACCTACTAGGACCCACAGGATCTGAGCCTGCTCCTCGCTCCAACCGTTCCAGACACGCCCTCTGCATTTGCCATTCTCTCTCTGGAATACTCTCCCCACTGGCCTTTGGCTGTCTACTCCCTGTTGATCTGCTCTTGGTGTACATGTCACCTGCGTGTCTACTCCACCCAGCAGAGGCCCTCATGAGCATCTCTGACTCATCCCCTCGCTTCTGCCCTCATAATTACACCTTGCAATTATTTGACAGAAACTTCTGTTTTGTCTGCCTCCTCCTCTATATCCCAAGCCAAAGAGTGGCAGATGTAGGTGGGCTTAATCTGTCCCGGAAATTTCCCTGAAACTCTGTCTGCAGCCCACTAAACCTCCCAAGTATAGACACAGTAAAGAAGGGTGCTGTTTTGCAAACACAGATTCAAGGCTAGTGCCCTGCCTCCCCACCCCTCTCCCACCAGATTGTCATCCTTCAGTTCCTCCTGTGCATACATTTTGTAGCCACCTTTGCTCCAACCAGAACATACATCCCCTGAAGACAGGGGCCACATTTGTGTGGCTCCTGTTTTTATTCCTAGAAACTAGCACAGCATCTGGCACCCAGCAGGCCCTCTAAATTTACGTTGAGTGGGGAGGATAAATTCCATGCAGAGAGGATGCCCATGAGCCAAATCAGAGGTGTGAAACAGCATGATGCACTCGAATAAGAGAATAAAGGGTGCGTTGGTGTGGGAGTAGTAAGGACAGATAACTGAATTAGACAGTCCTCCCACTCCCCAAATTCAAAAAGCACCCCACCTATCAACAGGGGATCATTATGCTGTTGAGGTGCTGTTGAAGCATTGGAAAGTCAAAAGGTTGCATTTCCAAAGATGCTGATGTGGCAGAAAAGATCTACTCAGAATGGCAAGGACAAAGGTCTCCTGGAGGCCCTTGCTACACCTTCCTCTTGCTCAGCCATGTGGTCCTCAGATACAGAGTGATGGGCACTGGGAGCCACCAGCCAACTTTGTCCAAACTCCAAGCTCCATCATCCAGAGAACAAAGAAGGATTTAGCCCAGATGCTCAAATCCCACCAGGACACTCACAGCGCCTGCCCCCTTTGGGGGTGGACAAGATCGCAGACAGGGATGAATGGGACCATTTCAGCACCAGGGTAGGGGGCAGCTTGGCCCGGATGCTGTGAAGGCCCCCTCGAGGAAGGTGAGGGTTTAGCAGAGGGGACAAAGGTCCCCAGACGCATCTGCTCACCTTGGCCAACTGAGTCTGCAGCTTATTCTTCACGTCCGTCACCTCGGAGATGCGGGCATTGAAGGCCAGATTGGTGTCCGTGAACTGCTTCCACATCTGATCCGACAAGGTCTCAAAGAGGTGTTCTGCCTCCTCCCGCAGCCGGATGGAGTTGGCCCGCATGTTCTGAGAGTGCCTGATATTGTCATTGCTGAATTTGGCCCAGGTCTCAGGTACAGAGATCCTGCAAAGGGCATGAGGGCAAATTTAACACCCAGAAGAGGGTGGGGGACGTGGCAGGCCTTGGAGACCTCCGAATCTGGGGTTTCTCAACCTTGGCCATCTTGGCATTTGAGTCGGGATAATTCTGCGTAGTGGGAGCTGTCTTGTGCATTGAAGAATGTTCAGCAGCATCCCTGGGCTGTACCTACTAGATGACAGTAGCAGCCCCACTCAGATGTGACAACCAAAAATGTCTTCAAGTACTGCTGAATGTTCCCCAGGGGAGGGGACACCATGCTACCTGTTGAGAACCACTGCCCTGGTCCGACCCTCTCATTTTACTGCAGCTCAGAGAAAGCAGCTGGTTTTCAAAAGGGCACTCTGAGTTGGTAGGAGAGGAGGGGTTCCCTCAAAGAGCACTTTTCCCTAACATTCCTCCCCCCTACAAAAAACACAGACAGGCCAGACAGCGGGATTAGGGCACAGTGGTGGCTCAGGGTCCCTCCAACTTGGTGATGAGCACATGGCCATGCTAATTTCACTGACTCATTCATTCAGCAAATGTTTTCTGATCACTTACCACATAGCAAGCATTGTTCTAGGCACTCGGGGTAGAGCCGTGAACAAGAATGTCAACATGCCTGTCTTCACAAAAACTGATTTACAGAGGGGGGGAACTGACAGTAATAAATAAGATATCCACACATCGTGTTACATGTTATGAAGGGATTTAGAAACAGGATGATGAAAGAGAGACAAATGGAATGGTGTCATTATATGTCAGTTGGTTAGTAAAAGAGAATAGATGGGATACTACTCAGAAGGGTGTAAAGGTGCTCATGGATTAGAAGATGCACAAAGCTGTCACCACCATGGCTGGAAAGGGCAAGAGGAGAGGGAACAGAATTATGAATGTTATGAGAGCCCCAGAAGAGGAGAAGCCATGGTGAACCAAATCCCTGGGAGGGAGAGAAGGAGGGAGCAGAGAGAATAAATCACTGACATCTCTCTCCTCCCACCCTCTGGCTTCTGCTGGTGCCCCTCCTCCTTGCTAAACCCAACTGGAAACCAAAGGGCAGAGAGTGCAGGAGAGGCCATCTACAGAGGGCAGCCACCTCTACAGGACACACAGCGGCAGCTGGAGAATGGATATGGGGGGATGAATGGAGACAGACAGCCTACATTAGCAAGGGCAGGCAGGGAAGGCTTCTTGGAGGTGGTGATACCTAAGCAACTCACTCAGTTCAGACAACACAAAGTTCTTCCTGGCAGAGCAAGTAAATCCCTGCAACAAGTAACCGATGGATCTTATGGGGTTTTCTCCTCTGGCAAGCCTTTGAGGAGGTACATGCATTTCTTTGAGCTGGCTTCAGGGCCTGGGTAAACCAGACTAGATGACTTCTCAAGGTCTTTTCTAGCCCTGGAAGTCTCCAGTTCTTAATGCAGATTTTAATTCTCAGGCAGCAGGAAAAAACGAACTCAATTTTTTTCTGAAATAGAACTCTCTTTTCAGACATTTTAAAGCACACTTAGGTTGTATGGTAAATATAAATTTTAAAAATCACATATATATGTGGTTATTTTGCCCGGCTTTTGCAGGAGTTAAAATCAAGCAATAAACAGGGGTCTCAGGCTTCTGGTGTAGAAGAGGGCACTGTGTCTGGTCCAGAGTTACATCCAACCAAGACCTGACGTTAGAGGGGTGAAGCATCCTGTCCAAGGTCGCATAACTACTCACCATACCCAGGACACCAAAGGAGGAGGAGTGGCCAAGGACGGCAGATAGAAAGCTGCAGATTTACTGAGTGTATCTATCGATGCTGCATGGGACACTGTCAGTGCCATGAACAGCAACCTCCAAGCCCTTGCCTTCCCCTGGAGCAGATAGCTGAGCAAATAACCCGCTTAATCACATTCTCCCCAGGGGAAATTTACCAAAGACAGCCTGTCTCCTAGGCAGGCAGTGTGCCTCAGTAGGGGGAATGTGATTTCTCGAGCCCAAGTCTTTTAAAGACAGAGGGGACAGCTGGGAGGCAGGAAGACACACTGGTAAAACACACAGGCTCAATATCCGATGTTGGCTCAGATCGCAGTTCTACCACTTGCTGTGGGAGCTTGAGCCAGTTGCTTCACCTTTCTGAGCCTTGGTCTCCTCATTGTGAAGTGGAGATAATAACGGTACCCCGGGGTTGCTGAGTGACTAGATGTGAAGCCCTATCAGCGCATCTGATTCATAGCAAGCTCTGGATGAATGTTTATTATTCACAACACGCTGTGTGCAAAGCTCTCACTCAGCTCAGTGTCTAGCACATAACAGGCGTCAGGTAAAAGGTGTCTACTGTCATCATCACCATCATCATCAGTTAATCCATGACAATGAAAACTGCAGTGAACAGAGATTCTGCAATTCAGTCACCAAACATCCTCTTTAATCTGCCCAGACATGGCCCTTATTTAGGAAAACCCCAAATACAAAGCCCTGAGCTAGCACATCTGGGAAGCAATTAGTCATCGCAAACAGCAGCTCTCGCTTTCCAGCTAGAGTCACTAGAAGACGGACTTTAAATAGCTGGCCCCTCCTGGGAGTGGAAATCAGAGTTTCCACCAGCCAGCCTGGCCAGCAGGTTTTCAGGGAGACATCTGTTTGGGAAGAGACCCCCTCAGGACTTCTTGTGCAGATGGCCAGCTGTGGCTGAGGAGGGCCAAGCCCCTGGAGTCCTGCTCACCTTGCCAGCACCATGGGGGAGGCCACCTTGTCAGCAAGAGGAGGTGTGTCCGCAGAAGTTGTCATTGCCAGAAATCTCAAAGGGTCATCTCAATACTTCGATATTTGCCAAGATCCCTTCCTTCTCTCCCTCCTTCCTTTTATTCATTTTTCCATTCAACAAATATTTATTGCATACCTACATGTGCTACACACAATTCTGTGTGTTAGAGATTTTAAAAGTGGGGGGGACTGCAGTGCAAAAACCAAGATAGACACCCCACCACCACCACCACCTGCACCCAAAACATCTCTCTCCCCAGCCCTCAGTAATGCAGACCTCAGACTACTGACCGCGAAAGCAGGTCTTAGTTCTGCATGAAATCCCATAATGCTTCCACATGCCCAAGACAGTGCCAGGCATACAGAAGGCACTTACCTCGTAGCTACCACAACAAGAAAACAAGTTCACACAACAAGCACTCAATAAATGCTAGCTGGTATTCCACACTAGGTTCTGTGTCTACGACTTCACACGCCTACCTTTTTAATACAACCACCCCCAGAACGGGATTCTATTTTCCTTCCAGTGGTGTAGATGCAGAAATGGGACCCAAAGAGATTACGCAGCTTGCTCAAGTGTTAGCATGGATACTAGATTTGAAGGCAGGCAGCCCAACTCCAGAATCCACTGTCTTACACTGCTGCCTCTCTGGTGGGTGTCACTTGACTCTCCCTGCCGAACAAGAAATCTTCCTCTGTCTGCGTACAGCCGTTTTGTTTTAGAATTTGGTTAGTGGAGTTGCCGAGTGGCAGTGGCCGTGTGACCCTCACTAGGCCAATTGCATGCCCTCTCTTTCTGGGATTTGTATCTTGAGCAAGGTGGAACAAGATGGGGCCCTCTGATGACACAGGTGATTAGCTCCCACTCCCTCACTCACTCGAACTGCTAGAACCTTCCCCTCCAGCCTCCCCCTTGAGTTTGTGACTCCCCCAAAACCAGTAAAATCCAGTAAATTCCATTTTGTCTTAAGTTAGCCAGACTTGGATTATGTTGCATGCAACAGAGGATCCCCACTCAGTCACACTGCCTCTCCCTGGACTGGTACACGAGGGCCCTTTATCATTCCTTGGCAGGGGCAGAAACCCTCATTCCTGTTGGACATGACCGGGGATGGGGACAGAGAGCCTAAAACTTACGTGCCATCGACTTTTTCCACACCATGGAAGAAGCTGATGCAGTCTGATGTGTTTCTTAGGTTAAAGCACTTCTCATCGATAAACTGGGCTGAGTTCTTGTCCTCGAGGTCCCTCTCCAGAGCATGCTGAGCATCTCGGTTATCCCTGCAGGAAGGAAGGATTTGTCCCCAAAGTCACACAGCAGGTGAATGCAGAGCCAGTCCTGTAAGCCAAATCCCTGGACTCGCAGGAAGGTGCTCTGTCCACACCCAGTGGCTTCTCAGCTCTCTTCCCACCTTGACGTCCCCACCATGTACCCAGAGCCTCCCTCACTCTCCCACCTCCCTCCCAATCTGTTGTCTATTAGAAAAGGGATGAACAAGCATTTACTGTAAAGGGTCAAATAGTACATATTCTAGGCTTTGTGGGTCATATTGTCTCTGTTGCAACTACTCAACTATGAATGAAAGCAGTCACAGATCATATGTAAACAAATAGCTTTGTGTCGATAAAACTTTATTTACACAAACAGATAGTGGGCCAGATTTGTCCTTCCAGCTGTAGTTAGAAGATATCAATACACATTTTGGACAAAGCCTGTATCAAGTTAAATCACTTCAAAAATCAATCATTTTGTCTGACCCTGCGCTGGGCACAGAGAGATAAGACATGAATAGGACCCAGTCACTGCCTTCAAGTTGCTCACAGATTGGTGTAAGCAAATACAGTGAAAATGAATATAGTACAGAGTGGTGATGGCAACAGTGAAGGTTTGAGAAGGATACAAAGTAACACAGAGGAGGAAGCCACTAACTCAGGGTGAGAGGATGGTCAGGAAGGGCTTCCCCAGGAGATGTCTGAGCTGGGTTTTCATAACACATAGGAGTAGACATTATGGACAAGGTTGCCTGCGGGAATGAAAATTCCAAGCTGAGGACTCCACATGTGTAAAAGAAGAGAAGCTACAAACACCCAGGCATTCAGAGACAGGAAAGCAGCTCTTTAAGGCCTGCAGAATTGGGGTCTGGGGCAGATTCAGGGACTGGGTGGGGCCAAAGACTAGGCCAAGACAAGGATTGGGTGGGTGGAGTCAGGGACTGGGAGGAGTGATAGACTGGGCGGGGTCAGGGACCAGACAAAGACAGGGATTGGTGGAGTCAGGGACTGGGCAGGGTCAGGGATTAGGCAAAGACAGGGATTGGGTGGGTGGAGTCTGGGACTGGGCGGGTCCGAGACTTGCCCAGGTGAGGAAAGGAGAATGGGGGCGGGGAGGCCAGGGTTTGAGCCTGGGGGGCTGGTATCTTGGCTAAGAAGCTTAAGTTTAAAGACCACTATTTGCCAAACTGCAGACACTGAGAACCACTTTTATGATTCTTGCCGAATTCTGAAGTACCTGTGCTATTATTTACTTAATATTCTTTTTTTCAAAAACTATTAAATATAAATAAATGTATTTTTAAAGGAAAATGTATGGTCCTGTCTTTAAAGGGAAACAATAACCCTTCCCATTAATAGGTCACCTCAGACATAAATACTAAGTCATTCTATCCAAATCCTAGCTAGAATCTATTGCCTCTAGAAGGTTCCAAGCCTGAACCCTTGTCTCCCTATTGATTGAAAAAACATTGGTCATTGTTAAAGACACAGAACCATCGATTGGCACTATTGCCTTGAAGCGTTGAGATGAGTATAAGAGTAGAGAAGGGAATAGCTTTCACCATGCGAGGTTATGTCCAGACACCAGCTAACACGGGTGGTCTCACGTTGGTCTCTCTGTCTACCTCCCGCCCCGTGTCTTTGTGTCGCTCTGTCTCTCATCTTTGCCTCTTCCTGACTCTTCTCTCTTGGTTTGTCTCTGTCTCAGGGCCTCTGTGTCTCTGCCTCCCTCTTCTCCATCTGTCTATTTTTTTTTTTTGTATCACTCTCTTTTTCCTGCTATGGATATTGGTTGCTGGTGAGGGACTTCAAGCAGACCAGGCAAGGAAATAAATCCTGATGGCAGGCTCCCACCTGTCAGGAAGCACAGGAACTCATGTCAGGGCAGGAGGAACCATCCCAGGGCCCTCGTGGCCTTCCAAATTGGCAGAGCCGTGGAGAAATGGGGCCCCATTCTGCCTAATGAACTGGAGTGTGAAGAAAGACCAGATCTTGGAAAGCAAACACGTCAGACCATTAGAGGGGAACCTGGGGGCCTCAGAATCCAGCTGGTCCAGCTGCCTGGCCCGTGCTAATGAGGCCTGGGGAAAGAGGGGGCAGCCCTGGCTCCCCTACTTGACCCGTGACTGAGGGCCCAGCCGGTGCCAAGTCTTGCTCTGCTGTGGGCCCACCTGAAAGAGCCCAAACTTGGCTCCTCCCCAGTCAGGAAGAACCTTTTCTGCTTTGCTGGGGCACCTGGTACAGTGAGGAAACTGACATGTCCAGATGTGGCCTCAGGCCTTGCCCAGAGAACCACGAGCCAATGGCCCAGCGCCTGCCAGTGCCAAGGTGTCCACCTGAGCAGATCAGTGGCAGCCTCCCTGAGGGGGTGAGGACACACCAGTTCTGCCAGGCTAATGAGGCTCTAGCCAGCTGTAGGTTAATCAGGATAATCCCTATCCCTCCAGCAGCACAAGCTGCCTCCACACCTATGACAGGCGCCCTTTGCCCGAGGACAAACAGCCTGTGTCCAGGGAGGCTCAGCCTTGAGTCTCCACAAAGAGAGAGGATCCCCTCACCTGCACTCACCCCCTCCCCACCCTCTCTCTCTCTCTGCCTCAGTCTCTCTCTGGATCTCTCTCCCAGCATCTCCTTCTCTCTTCTCTTTCTCCATCTCTGTCCCTCTCCATCTCTTTGTTTTTCTCTGTCTCTGTCTCCCTTCTTGAATTCTCTGTTTGTCTGGCATGTCTGTCTCTCTCTGTGTCTCTCTGCCCCTCTGTTTCCCTGCTCCCCATCTGTTTATCTCTTCCTGTCTTTCTTTCTCTGTCTCTCTCTGTTTCTCTCGATGTCAGCACTCATTCTGTTTCTCCCTGTGTCTCTCGGTGTCTGGGACTGTCTCTGTCTGTCTCAGTCTCTCTAGCTGTACCAGCACCCCCGCCCCATCTCTTGTTTCATTGTCTGGGATTGCACAAGCAGCCTCCCTACCCCAGTCTCAGGATTTCTCCTCTGCAGCCCAGCTCCCCAGGTGTAAGTCCAGGCTTTTGTTCACTCTGCCAGCTCCAACTGTCCCCTTTCCCAAACCTCGGCCTTCCTGTTCCCCCAGCACGCCATGTTTTGCAACATCCCTGTGTCAACCCCAAATGGAAAACCATTCTCTCTTGCTGTAAATAGGAGATCACAAAAATAAATGTAAGAGAGAACAGAATAGAGAGCCCAGAAATGAATCCGTGCATTTATAGCCAATAGATTTTCCACAAAGATGCCAAGAACACATACGGGGGAGAGGACAGTCTCTTCAATAAATGGTGTTGGGACAACTGGAAATTCACATGCAGAAGAATAAAATTAGACCCGTATTTCACGCACATATAAAAATCAACTCAAAATGGACCTTCAATGTAAGACCTGACACTGTAAAACTACAAGAAGAAAATATCAGAGGAAAGCTCCATGACATTGTTCTGGGCAATGATTTTTTCTGGATAAGACCCCAAAAGCATAAGCTACAAAAGCGAATATAGACAAATGGGATTTCTTCAAACTAAAAAGCTTCTGCACAGCAAACAATCAACAGAGTGAAAAGACATGCTATAGAATGAGAGAAAATACTTGGAAACCATGCATCTGATAAAGAGTTAATATCCAAAACATATAAGGAACTCAAGCAACTCAATAGCAAGAAAACAAATAATCTGATTGAAAAATGGGCAAAGGATCTGAATAGACATTTTTCAAAAGAAGACATACAAATGGCCAACAGGCATATGAAAAAAATGCTCAGCATCACTAATCAGCAGGGAAATGCAAATTAAAACCACAATGAGATGTCACTTCACACCTGTTAGATTGGCTCTTAACAAAAAGATGACAGATCAGTGTTGGCGAGGATGTAGAGAAAAGAGAACCCTTGCACACTGTTGGTGGAAGTGTAAATTAGAACAGCCATTATGGAAAACAATAGGGAGGTTCCTCAAAAAATTAAAAATAGAGCTACCATATGATCCAGAAATTCCACTACTAGGTATATATCCAAAGGAAAGGAAGTTGGTACGTCAAAGAGACACCTGCACTCCGTGTTCATTGCTGCGTTATTCACAATGTCCAAGATGTGGAATCAACCACAATGTCCATCAACAAATGAATGGATAAAGAAAATGGATCTACACGCAATGGAATACTGCTCAGCCTTCTGTCATTTGTGACAACAAGGATGACCTGGAGGACATTATGTTAAGTAAGTGAAATAACCCAGGCACAGAAAGACAAATACCACATGATCTCAATTATGCATGAAATCTAAAAAAGTTAAACTCACAAAAGCAGAGAGTAGAATGGTGGTTAACAGTGGTGGGGGTGTGGGGAGATGTTTGGTCAAAGGATATAAAATTTCATTCAGGGGCCGGCCCGGTGGCGCACTGCTACAGTGCGCCGCTTGGGAAGCGCGGCGGCGC